GANGAGAGAGAGAGAGAAAACAGATTTCCATTGGAATATTTACATTTTATGATGAATATAGTCAGTAAAAGGGAGTTATTTGTTTGATTCGATGCGCTTTTGCGCTTTTGACCCATAATAATATATTGAAGAGGAAAGAGAAAAAAAGACCGCTCATGGAGATAAATATTTATCATTTTTTTTTTTCTCATCTTTCTTTATTCCTTCATTTTAATGTTTGTCAAATAATAAGAGGAAGATAAAAAAGATTGAAAATATAGCTCGAGAAAAAAAAAAGAGAGGGATATATGTATAGTATGCTAATTAATCTTCCTCTTCTATTAATTATTAATAACATCAACTTTATCATTTATAACACAAAATTAATTAATGGACAAATATTCTTCTCGAAAAAAAAAGTGAAAAAAAACTCTCTCTCTCTCTCTCTCTCTTTCTCTGTCCTTTTCAAGAAAAAAAGCCATTTCTCTTCTCATATATACTAATTAATCAAATGTGTGTAACTTCAACTTTACAACCATTAATAATTATTAGAGGAAAAAAAATTTTTTTTCGCCAAAATTTTGGCAATAAATAAATCATAAATGATTGTTTGTAAACATTTTACAACATTTTAAATATTAAATTAATTAAATTAATATGTGTTCATTAAACAAAAAAAGAAACGAAAAATTAGAAAGGGACCAAAATGAAAAAAAAAATATTCAGTTTGTCGTTCAAAATTAAAATGAAAAATTAACAATTGGTATTTAAATAATTATTGTATCATTTAACAATAGTTATACAATAGTTCAGTTTTACAGCTTAGTAAAGATTGCATAATTGTGAATATAGTCGGACAAAGTTTGCATGATCAACCATTATTACTTCAATAGGTTTATAAGCCTATAAAACTACAATATTCTTCATAATCTGAAAAGATTAAACTTTATGATCCAACTAATTACACTACTTGAATAGGCCACCAACAATTTTGATATTAATTTGAATAAAAATAGCATATTTTTGGCCTATATCATGCTTAAAATAATTATATTTGCCTCAAATATGTTTGTATAAAAGTGAAGTTATGCAAATTTGATATGGATGATGATAATGAATGCAATATGATATGATAAATTATCACTATCAATTGTTATAGCTATGAGTGTAAATGATTGTTAATTATAGAATTAGATGACTGTAACAATTATGATATAATATGATTTTATCATTCTTCAAAAGATATTAAAATTGAATATAAAATGAAAATTTGTCTATCGGAAAGTAATATAAATATTGGTGAAAAACAAAATGGAATTAATCAGGAAGACATTTTGCTAATACTTGTTACCCATTTGAAAAGCATTCAATTCACCACTTAAAAATAAAATTTGAAAATTTTCAGAATCAGGCGCGATTCAGTATCGAAGAAGCACAAGAAGTGTTATTTTGGATCGAGCATGCAACAAATATACAGTTTGCTAAGGATCCATCAACTTTCGAAACAGCTCAAGATGTTGCCGATGCACTCAAAGATGGTACTCAGTTATGCCTGTAAGCTGTTCCTTATTTTTGATCGTTTTTAAAATCCATTTCAGGTCAAACAAGTTTCAAATTATTGAAGTTTATTGAAATTTAAAAATTATAATATTTATGCATTCTTATACAAAGCAGCATTGAAATGCTATTGATGTTTGGAAAATATGAAATACATTTAAATGACTGTTTCAAATGAAGAATTATCTAGTCAGATATTTCCTCTAATATCTGAATCCCTAAAATACTTATCCCAAAAAAAGCCAGAAAAAAAACTTTTCAGTCGTATTATTCATATAACGATCCAAAACATCTTCGAAACATTCATTTTTCTTTTATTTTGCTTATTTCAGCCTAATGAATCGATTATTAGACAAAACAAATGCATTACCATACAATCCTAAACCAAAAATGCCTTTCCATAAGGTAATTATCGGAAATTTTATTTAAAAATATTTCCATCATTAATAAGAACAGTTGTTGAAATTACTAATTTTTGTTGCATATTGCATCGCTTATGAAGCTGGTTCGGTACCAATGGTAACAATAGTATACCTCGGTATTAATCTAATAATAATTCTATGAAACGTAAAACTGATTTCCATTTAAATTTTGATAAAATACGAATAGCATAAAGAATATATCTTATCATTATAGATGGAAAATATCAGCAATTTTCTGGATGCCATTAAAGCATACGGTGTTCCAGAAATTTCATGTTTTCAAACGGTTGATTTATATGAAAATAAGCAGTGCTACAAAGTGATCGAATGCCTGAGGGCACTAGCTGCTGTGGTATACTCATTAATCTATTTATTTACTTCATAACTTACTAGTTCATCGAAATTTCAAATGATTCATCCTGTGTTAATTGTAATTAATTACCTTTAATTGGTTAAGTTGTCGAATTCAACAATCTTCAACAACACGAAATCTAAACTTTCTTCTCTTAATATATTCAATACGAAAATTGATATCTTATTCGTACGAATCACACAATCAAGCTATTCACTTTAGCTATTTAATTAACCCATTCATTTCGGCTATTTAATTAAGCTCATTTTGGCTATATAATTACTAAAAGGTTCCAAAATATCTTTAACCATTATTTGTTTTAGTCGATGCAATTCAAAGCTTACAAAATATCTTTAAAATTTAAGTTCTCCTCCGAGAAAATGACGGAGAAGGGAAAACGATTGATAACTGATAAGTCCTTCAATTTCCTATCCTTTTATTGTTCATTACATTTTTATCTTTACAATTTTATCGCTAAAAATTTGTTTGCTTCATTTCACCATTCCTGCATGTATTGCTTTTAAGTTTTATCAAGTTGACAATTGTTGTCAGTTATCCCTTATCATTTCTCAATTCCATTGAGTTGATAGTCATTGCTAATCATTTTTTTTTATCACTTTTTTACTTTATTAAATCAATAATAATTGTCATTTTCTTCTCTGTTTTATAAAACTTTAAAACTTTTGTATTTATTGATCTTCAAATAGTTTATGAATTTACCTGGACTTGTTTTTGTAATGTTTTTAAATTTTTAAACATTTATGCAATTTCAATTTTATAAGAAGAATAATGTTATGTTTTCTTTTTTAGGCTCAATCAAAAAATGCGCCAGTACCATTTCCATCATGGGTTGTTAAACTTTCCCAGGGTCATCCTCGTTCCTTCCCGGAATCAGTGATACGTCGTGGTGAGATGGTAATCCCATTACAATATGGTACAAATAAGTGCGCTTCACAGAAAGGTATGACACCGTACGGTTTAACAAGGCAAATCAAACCGGAAACCTAAAACTTTACGTAAAAGAAGTTTGTGATACATTATGTAATTGATAGTATTATATAATATTATGCTGCACTAATATTCTTGCTGAGAATATCACAGCAAAAACAATTCTTTGCCGGATATTCTGCTATCATTTTTAGATCAATTACCGTACGTGTATCATCTATAGACAAGAATTGAACAAGATAAAAGTTGTTCATCTGTGATTACTTACTATTTATAAAAAGCATAAAGTTTGACCCGTCTTATTTCACTGATATCTGTTATCAGTTATCACAACAATGTCCACTGATATTTGCTATCAGTTATTGGAACAATGTACTTGTATTTAGATGCATTATCATATAAATCTTACTTAGATTACTCATTCAGCAAAATTTCTTTTAATTCAATCCCTTCACCTTGTTAAAGTATAAAATTTACCACAAATGTGACGAAAAATATGGAAATTATTAGGATAAAATCGTAGAAGAGAAAAAAGAAATAGAAAAATACAATTGGAAATAGAAAAAAAGAAGGGAAAGAGAGAGGGGAATGAGAAAAAGGAAATGTGAGAAAGTAACTACTATGATAATATCAAAATGAGTAAAAGAGCCATTGAAGATATGGTAAGATAAATTTGTTAAAAAGAAGAAAAAAAGGAAAACAACAGCTCGTTTTCTTTTCTTTAAATTATTTCCTTTTTATCACATATAATTATCAAAATTTTATCGTTAAATTTGTTTCTGAAAAAGATTTCAGTCAAAAAACAAAAAATTGGGAAAATCAATAATTTTTGGTAGAAATTATTTGTTTGTTCTCCTTTTTTCCATCTTTTCAACACATTTTTTTTGGATAAAAAATTTCTCATTTTTCCGCTTTTTGTTTCATCAAATTTTCTAAATGGATTTTTGAAATTTTTTTTTAAACGAATCGCAAACAATACAATGTAATCTTATATTTCGAAACTGCTAGCATTGCAAGCAAAGAAAGTCCCCACTTCTTGGCCTCAAGAACATTCTTGCCTAATCTTGTAGCATTCCCAAGGCTTATTGTTATCTTGGTTGATATCTTTTAATACCACCATTTTTTTTTCTGCATTTAAAAAAAAAAAAACTTTTAGAAAAAATATAATGCCAGAACCAAAGATCACTATGTTAATAGGGAAGCTTGTTTTGCATGATATACGTTAATTCCAATAAACAGTTTCATATATGTTCATTAACCTTGGCCCAATATATATTTCTTGGCCATGTGTACAACTCTTGCACACATAAATCCATTTATATAAACAGACAGACATTCATAGATTGAAGGAATCGATTTAATTATGAATGTAATTTTCTCTCTAAATGCAAATTTCAACTGTTAAAAAAGCATAAATGCTTAAGTTGTAAGTATTACTTAGAAAATAGTTGCAATGACGTATTCAATGACAAATTTTTATTTTTGAATGTTAAATGGGAGATTATCATTGCATGCAAGATTTGTTTTTATAAAAATTCCAAATAATTTAATATTAACGAATTTCACTGAAATTAAATGTTTAAACTACGTATACTACTTTTGCATTATATTTTAAAAAGTGATTAAAAGAAGACAGTGTTTGGAAAAATGGTTGAAAAACAAGAAGGAAGAAGAATTTTTAACTTTATGTAATAGATAGTTAGCTATTATGAGTAATTTTTTTCCTTTTTTTTGCATCGTTTTTACAATATGACTGGTTTGTTTGAATTGCCTTATGCTGCAAAATTTCACAGTTTTGAAAAATGAATTTAAAATTTGATAAATACAACAAAATGTTGCAACCATTGAAGATCTGCTGAAACTTGATGCAAAAACCTTTTCCTTATTTGAAAAAGAAGAGCTCTCTGATCATTAAACAAATCATTACTTGAATTTCAATTTTTCTATTTAAAAAAAAAGAGAGAAACTCTTAGAAGTGTCGTTTTTCAATCAGTTATTTAGAAAAGTTATGATTTTTTGGACTTGAACCAGATGAATTAGTTCAGATGATTCTACTCGACTAGACAGCTTAATATGAGAAAGGATAAGTATTTACTTAAATAATACCAAATACTAAAGTCAAAATGATCTGTCCGTTCGATGAACTCATTTGTTTCTGTCAGTTACCAGGATCCAATTACGTTCTGTCCCATTTTACAAATCCTGTCTCCTTGGTTGTTCAACTAGATCCTTTGAATCTTTCTACTGTCCACTGCCTAAAGCTTCTCTTATTCCGTTCTCAAATTTCTGTTTTCATCCTAAATATTAAAATTTAGGTTTAAAATTGATTGAAATTTTAAGACATGAACGGTTTTATTTTTTATTTTTTCAAAATAATTTTCAAAATATACTTTTTTACTTTTTTCCTTTTTTTTTTGCTTAAAACTGAGCAAAACAGATCAAATTCCCCGTTTGTTAATTATATTTTGATGCTGCTATTATTTATCAAATTTCCAAATCGTTTCAGGACAGAATTATTATCCTTTCTTTAACTTACCTTCCAGAATCAAACCTTTAGTAATTGTAGTTGTCATCTTCTTTACCATACTTCCTTTATCTTACTTTACTTCACCATATTATTTCTACTTTATTTTATCCGCTTATGAAATTTAAAAGCAACAATTCAAAACTTCAAATGTGTTCAAATAAATGTTTTATGAATGCATAAAATCTGTCATTCATAAAGGATGATGAAATGAACATTGAAATACTTTTGGCTACTTATAGCATTAAATCCCATCTAATATCTTTCATTAAGTTTTAAAACTTTAGTTTATCCATCGTAACGTTTGAATAAATTACGAAAAAAATTATGTAGAGAGTTTTTACTACCTTCAAACAAAAAAAAAAAGAAAAAAAATTGAAACTTAATGAAAGTATTAATAATTGTATAACTTTATTCTGATTTTAATGAATCAACAAGTTATTGATTTAAAATGTTTAGAACTGAAGATAGAATATTGGCGTAAGATAAAATATTAATGAACTAAATTATATTTTTAAAAAAAGAAATTTTTGGTTCATTTCAATTATCATAGCGAAATTAGCCTAAAATATGGTAAAATTCAGGTAAATATTTGTTCTTGTATTGTCTCTTTCAATTTATGCATTATCCTATCTTTGAAATTATTCGATTTATTACATGATGGAAAAAAAAAAAAAAAACAATACTCTATACATATTGCTGACAATTCTTGTTTAAAAAAAAAAAAAGGACGAAAGGGAAAAAGGAGAAAGATAATAAAAAGAAGAATAAAAGCGCAGAATTGTTATAGGATGTGACAAATGGTGGATGAAATTGGAATTGGTTGTATCAAAATCTGTTATTGAATTCGTGCGCCATTTTATTCGGACATTTCCGCATTGCTCATTTGAAAAGTATCATTCAATTCATTGTTTTCCTTTTTGTAGATTTCATCAAATTGATGCATTAAAATAAGAAATGTAATGGCTTTAAAAGGAATTAATGAAAGCTTTCCTTACATCGAATCGAACCCATTCGACTTATTCTTCCATGAAATGCTGCTATTAGTTAATTTGTTGATATTATCAGCCAATTTGTTACTTTATCTCTCTCCCTCTCTCTCTCTCTTTTTGTCTAATGAATTATTTCCAAGAGAAAATTTCCCTTTTATCACCTGCTAATAATGGATTAACTATGACCTATTTTGGTCATGCATCAATTTCCTTTTTTTCATTCCGATGGGAAAAAAAATTAAAAATTAACGTTTAAAACTGCTATAAAATGAAGCCAACATCCTTTTTTTTAGTTTTGATTCATAAATGCAAATGTTTTGCACAGATTATGTAAAATTGTTTATCTATTAATTTATCTATTAAAAAATTTTATCTATTAATTATTAATTAATCTTAAAATTTTTGAAATTTTAATTTGGTTCCTCCTCTAAATTATCCCTGAAATTAGCAAATATCAAGTATCTTTATATCTTTGAAATATCAAAAACAGGAATGGAAAAAATTAACTTCAAAAAAATGTCCATTTTCAAAAACTTTCCTTGCATTTAAACCTTCATTTACAAATTTGCGTATCATCAAATTTTATGTATTAAACTTTCTTTTTTCTTTTTTTTTTTAAATTTACATATAATTACAAGGTTGACCTAATTTCTGTCAATTCTCAAATATTTCATTAATGCCAATGAATAGGAAAGTGTAATCAGATAATAATTATTCATCAGAATTTATTGATCTGCTGGCGTTCTGTTTTAAAAATTTCTAAAAAATCTCAAGTCATTTGTTTACTTATAATTAAATCTAATGACTAAAATTTTTATTTCCAATTGGACTTGGAAAGAAATAATTGTGCCAACATTGTATTTACTATGAATTTTAAGTCCCGCGCAATGTTATACAGTAACTTTTAGCGCTAACTAACTGAAAGCATTTGTGAAATTTTAATTTTGTTCCTTAATTGCTACGTAATTCTGACAGTATTACGATAAACTTCATTAAAACATTTTAAAAATGAAAATAATTTATTCATTCATCTTCTTTATCCATCTATTTTGCCTTTCCCGCGTTGCAATAAGAGGTAAATGTTGAAGGAAACTTGGCATCAGTAATAAATCATTTATTCTAACTTTCTCAAAATATGATTTGTTAAAATTTTTTTGTTCCTTCTCTTTTGTAATTCTTGGCCAATACTTTTTTCATAAAAATATTTACCGTTTTTTTGTTTTCTTTTTTGATTAATTAGCATGATAAGCCATCATGCTATCACTTCTTTGTTTAGCACTTTTAGAAATTTGCAAAATGCAATCAGTGCAGTCAAATTAGCACTTTTCTTAAACTTACTTTTTTGCATTCATTTATATCCACTTTTACCCTTTTAAGTGACAGCTTTAATCATTTTCCAAGACAATATGAAAACATATCGCTTTGCAATATCAAACTTTCCGGCACATATTTCTATTCTTTGCTGACTGATGTAAATTTTTGTGATGGTATAAATGATTATCATCAGCTGTACTGAAGTTGACTGAAGTAAAAATTCGCTACGTCACATTATTTCCGGTTGGCAGGAATCCATAGAGTTGTTAGATGCTTCCGGTTCCAGGAAAAGAGGCCGATTCATAAT